TCTACTTGTCTGTCCTTTGTTACAGTCTCCCATTTGGTCCCCTAGGGGAGTGTCCACCAGGTGGGAGACCTGCATAAATACTGGACAGGTAGCCCTCATTAAACTGTTCACTGCTTGACCCTCAACACAGAGCTTTGTCTCGTTCATGGGGGGTTTTACTGTATGCTGTTAGAGACTGATTGCCAGGAGTGTAAGCTGCTTGGGTGCTTTTCCTGTTCAGCTGCTAGCAGCTATTCGTGAGGTTCCAGTTCGGGAATTTGGAGTGCTACTTGGTATCCTGTTCGGGAGTTTGGTGTTCTGTAGTAGCTGTGCCTGTGTCTCTGGAAGGGGAAGATCTCCTAAATGGCAGTTTAACCCCTTGTGTGCTGAAACGGTCCGTTACAGGTCGCACTGAAAAAGGCAAACAGAATGAGGTGAACTCCCATCTTCACAAGGGATGAGAATTTTCTAAAGCTGTTGCGATAACTGTCATGATCTTTACAGGCAACGTCAAAGTACCAGATGTTGACCGCACAGTCTGCTTGAGGCAGTACGACGGAACCCAGTGGATTGTCATTGGTGGGATCCCATTTTAAACGTTTGACAATTCTTCTGTCTTTCTCTTCCTCAGCTTCCAAGAGTTCACTGAAATTCAATAGTTGTGATATCATAAAAACTGTAAAAGTGTTCCGTAAATGCATTCATCCAGTTGTCGCTTAAAGGGACACTATAGTCAACAGAACAAGTAGAGCTTAATGTAATTGTTCTAGTGTGTAATGTCTATCCCTGCAGGAATTTTAATGTAAACACTGCCTTTTGTAGAGGCTGAGATAATCAAATTTAATAAATTCAGGAAAGGGTTTGGAGCAGGGGTGGAGCCAGCCATGACGGACCTGCTCGGCATTAGAATAAAGGCGCATAAACTCAACTTTTAAATTGCTTAAGGCTCTAAGTAATGTTTTCATACCTACAGTGACAGATAGGGCTGCCATCTGAAATCTTGGGGCCCCTGACACAGGTCAATTTCTGGGCCCTTGGAACCTGCCCCTGAGTCTGCCCAGAGGGCCACACCCAAGTCCGCACTCTGCTCCTGAGTCTATCCACAAGGTTGAAGTGTGTGTGTGTACTGAATGTGGTGTGTATAGTGGATGTAAAATGTGTAATGTGGAGGAGGTGTGTGTCTTGGATGCAGAGTGTATAGTGGATGCAGATTGTACGTTTACGTACTATATGTAGTGTTTCTGTGTATTAGATGCAGTGTATGTTTGTGTAGAGGATGTAGTCTGTGTGTGTAGTGAATGCAGAGTGTATGTTTAGTGACTGCAGAGTGTGTGTTTGCTGTGTAAGGATGTAGTCTGTATAGTGAATGCAGAGCGTGCATTTGTGTAAGGATGTAGTGTGAGTATAGTGACTGCAGAATGTGTGTTTGCATTCACTAAACACACTCTACAATCTCAACTCCTAAGACACACACTCTACAATCGCTACACATACTTCATCCTTACACAAACACACACTCTGCATTCACTAAACACACACTACATTCTTACACAAACACATACTCTGCATTCACTAAACATACACTACATTCTTACACAAACACACACTCTGCAGTCACTAAACACAAACTAC